TTTTGGTTGTTGTTGGCTCGAGGAGGGTTGTATTGTGGTTGAGGGTGGTAATATGGTTGGGTATTATAGACTGGAGCGTAAGTGGGTGGTGGTGAGTGGCTGTTTAGGGAATAAGAGGTGCTTTTGTGATGTGGATTGGGTTGGTAATAAGGAACGACCGCTGAGACCTTCTCTTTCTGCTTCATTCCGCTACCGATTGACCCTGACTAGATGGCCTTGATGGCCGCTTGCAGTGCTGCCATTGATTGTACTTTACCAGATTTTATGCTCTTTTCTAAGAAAAATCCCATCTTGAGAAGCTCGGGGAACTTTTGACCCATCTTTTCAAAGTATATTCCCTCCTAGGCTCTGATGAAATACTTGGTTAGTTCAATGTCATCCAGCAGAGGTTGGAACGACTCAGATGGTTTTTTCTGTAGGTTCACCAGTGCGAACCGATCAGATGTGATCTCTGTATTGAATCGAAAATGATTCATGATGTCCTTCGCCATATCTTGCCAAGTTCTCCAATTTCGCGGATCCTGTCGAGTATACCAAGTGAGTGCTTCTCCCATCAAACTTCTTATAAATAATTTCATCCTTAGCTTCTCGTTCCTCCCCACTATGGCTAACTTGTCACAATAAACCCTCAGATGTGCGTGAGGGTCCCCCGTCCTACCGAAGATATCAAACTTTGGGGGTTTGTATGCTGATGGAATATCCATATCTGGATGAATACACAGATCCTCGTAGTCCAAACTTTCACTTCCCCGGGCAGCTTTGAGATTCTTCATTTGCCTTCTCATCATTTGTAACTCCTCAGATACTGAGTCTTCTTCTTTACGCCTGGCTTCTCTCTCCATCTCGGCATATTGGTCAATCTCATCAAGCACCCTGGCGATGATAGGTGCTGTAAAGGTAGGTTCAGAAATGGCATATACAAGGGGAACGTACCGCTCGTGGGTGGCGGCATGTGCCACAGATATGTGCTGGTTAGTGGTAAAAGTGACTCTGTCATGAAGAGGGGTAGTTACATTAGTGGTAATAGGCAGTTTTTGTGATATCTGAGTGTATTGTGGTATGTAAAGAGTGTGGATAAGGGGATTTGGTGGGCTAGCGGGGGTTACTAGAGGTATAACTTGAGTGGTGGGAATTGAAGTTGGGATGTTGTTATTTTGGCGTGATATAGAAGGAGAGTGATGTGGAAGTGAATCCAAAGAAGGGAATCTAAGTGGATGAGGAAGTGTTGTCATGGCCAGGTACGCCAGTTCTCTGATTTGCGATACCTCCTCCCTTAAGGATTCCATTTCTTGGGCCATCTTGGCCACGTGTTCATCATTCCTAGTCATTTTCCCCCGATCGCCTCGGGTTGTCGGCTATAACCAGAGCATATTCAGTTGGGTCTTCTGCGGATGACATCTTTCCCTTTGACCTTAGATTATATGGTGGCCCCGCCAGTTTTGGTCCATACAAACCAAATTTCTTTTCTCTTGGGGGGTAATAATAAAGAAAAAGAAAAATAAGAAGAAAGAAATGAAAAGGAACAAGAGTCAGTTTCTTCATTCATGAGAGCAGGAGATCATACAGAGCAGATAATTCGTGCATTACAGCTGGCGCATTCCTAGAATTCATGGGGACCTATCATTGCTAGAGGTAGGCTTAATTCGCATATATTTGACAAACATTTAGACTTGACACATTTAGATTTGAAGGAATTAGTTTTCATTAATAATTTGGATTGATACAAGTGGGAACAAGGATTGCATCATTGTTTCATAGAACTGCATGGGCTTGGACAACTCGCACTTTTGGAAAGTAAAAGAGAAAACTAGAGATAAAGGTACAAAGTGGGAAACATGGGAAATAAATTAACTATAATAACCATCCCCTGAGTCGTTTCTCATATTCTTCTCTTCTTCTGGCTCCTCTTAATGATCCTCCTTCGGATCTTCCTCAATCTCCTCCTCATCATCGTTGAATTCAGACTCCTCCTCTAGATCTTCTTCTGGATCTGCGCTTGATTCTATCTGCATTCACTCCACTACACGATCATCATCTTCAACAGGTGGCAACATGTGGTCAATGGATCCTGGGACTACGTGATGATGCATTGACGTGGTCACAAGATAATGCGGCAAGATCTCATGCTAAATCTGCAAAGCAACCACCGCTTCCTCTAACCAGGTTATACCCTCTCTGCTTGGGTGGGCCAATTCTTCTTCTTTGTCAATCCCAACGTAATACTCGGGAGTACACCATGAGTTTTGACCCATAGGCATTGTTACTGGGTCATTCTACTCCTCTTGTAGTCTTCTTTTCCTGGGAATTGGGATCTCGTCATTGTACTCATCCTTGTATGGCATTGTCCTCGTCCACAGAGGCACATCTTGGATCATCCTGAATTGTCTAAGGACCCACATGGGTGAGTATGGTTAAATGCCTTCCAGTCCGATCAACTCAATAAAGTAATTTTGAGGAGTCCTCAGGATTGCACTTCCACCTAACCAAGAAAGTTTCCAGTTGATCCATTCTCCTATCAGATTGCTCAGCGTTTCCCTCTATTATTCTTGCCCATGTGGGGAGATCCAGTGTCTCATTCTTTCATCGTGGTTGCAGATCATATTGCTGACACCCACAAAGTAGTCGATGGTGGCCTCTCGCTGGAAGAAGTGTTCAGTAGCCCAGATCTGAGCAACAAGTTACAACCTTTAAATAAATCACACCCTCGTGCACATGCACACGAAGCTCTCAGCATCTCAGCTAACACCATTTGCACCAAAGTAGCTTGAATATTGCCGCGTAAGGTTGCCACGACCACTGGTAACATGCTGATATTAATACGGCCTCTTCGCTGCGGACAAACAAATAATCCCAACAGTGCCATTGCAAAAGTGATACGCCTGAGAGTCTTCGTACGTCACTTGGTCACATTGAAACTCCCCTGAAAACCATTTGTAGCTTTTATGGTGCCCAAATCTATCGAACATTCGGTCGAGGCTCACCCATTCGTCCTCGATACTTCCGAGGTTTCTGTTGTTGGCAAGGCTTAAGGCATCCAAGAACCGGTAACCGGGCATAGTAACTGGCAATATTGGCTTTCTTCCATTGAATGGCAGCTCTGTGAAACTTGTGACTTCTTCCAATGTCGGTACTAACTCACCATCGACAAATTTGAACACCACCTTAGCCAGATCCTAAAATTCTATCAGCAGAAGAGTGAGCACCATGTCTTCTCGGATGTTCATCAATGCAGTTAATGCTCCCAGGTGCGCCTGAACCTCATCTCTGTGTTCCCAACGGATGTGCTTCTTGTGTGAGTGATAAAGACGGGTGACGTGGTGCGAGCAAATTGGTTCAAAGAGATTGTCGCGGATCACCAAGGTGGCAAATAAGATGGATGTTTGGTTTGGATAATTTCGGATTGGGCTTAGTATTTGGGCTAAAATAATTTAACTAATAGCCACTTTGTAATTAGTTAAGGAATGGCAATCGTAGTCTTTTAGTCTTTATCCCTTTTGAAATTAATTTAAATAAACATAATTAATTAAATAAAATGTAGAAAAAATTATAATTGTTAAATACTACTAATTATTGCAATTAATTAATTATATGTAAAAAATACTTTATTAGGTTTTGAATTATTGAAATAGTAAACTAATTAACTAAAATATTAAGAAATAATATATTGAATTAATTATAGAACTTTCGTATAGATATTATATTTTAATAATCCTAAGATAGTAAATATATTTGTAACTACATAATGTCAATATTACGTGATTAATTTTGAAACTAATGCTTGGTTAATTTAAAAAATAGATATTTCATTACTGGAAAATACTTCAAAAATATTTATTATAAATTATTAAGTAAAAATATATTAATTTAAAAGGAGGGTCAAAATTAGCCGTCAACACATACAATTCTATAGGTGGACCAGGTTATAGATTATGTTGTATGAGAGGTTCAGGATTTATTTGGAAGAGTGAATCTCAAATTGGAAGCTTTAAGTTGGAAGAGCTAACCAAGGTTTGACTTTTGAGTAAAGGAGCTCATAATCAGGATTGGATGGTTTCAATAGGTTCGTATGGTGATTTTGAACTTGGGCATAAGTTCAGATTTCAATTTTGATGTTCCTAGAAGGTTTTTGGCTCTATTTGTCGAAAGTTTATAATTTGAAGAAATAGAGAGTTCATAAGTTTGACCGGAAGTTGATTTTTATGTTATCAGACTCGTATTGTGCTTTTGAGACCTTGGAAAATTTCATTTAGTTGGTTGGAACTTGTGTTCAAAGTTAGGTTGTGATCCGGAATGTCTAAGTGTGATTCGGATGTGTTCGACGAAGTTTGAATGTTTGAAACTTGAGAGAATGATTTTGATCTTTGATTCTTTCTTTTGATGTTATTTTTGGTGCTTTGAGCCTTTGAGTAAGTTTAGATAATGTACTTGGACTCGTTGGTGTGACTGGATTGGATCCCAAGGGGATCGGGTGTGATCCGGGGTGGTTTCAAACCATTTCGGTTGCTTTGTAGATGTTGTGTTGCTGGTGTGTTGTACTGCTTCACGATCGCAAAGCTAGGTTTGCTATCACGGAGAAGGATTTTGGCTAGCTGCTACTTATGGTTCACGTTCGCAGGGTTACATTCTCGTTTGAGTAGTGTTGGAGTGCTTGGTCATTGCGTTCGTGTGCTGTCAGTTGCGTTCGCATAGTGTCTTAGCAGGTAGGTGGTGAGTTGGCTTTCGTGTTTGCATAGTGTGTCTACCGTTCCTAGTGTGTTGGTTGGTTCGCTTTCACGATCGCGTGGGCTCTTTCATGATCGTGTATTGTATTTCCTTGGAAGCAACATTTTGTGCTTCGCAAATGCGAGGCTTGTGCCGCGTTCGCGAAGGGTACTTCTAGGCAGATTATTTAAGAAGTTATTTCAATACTTTTGCCCATTCTTTCATATGTTTTGCCCTAGACTTGGAGATGGGCGATTGTTCATGGAGATTTTCGTACGAGGGAGAGGGTAAGTGATATCTACCTATTTATGATTATAATTGAAGAATCTACATGGATTTCTACACATAAAAGATGGGATTTTGATAAGAAATTTGGGTTTTTGTCTATACTTTAAGAGAGTGTATTTTGGTATTTTGGCCATCGATTTGGACTCAAATTTGGAAACTAATTATATATTTGGACTCTGCAGGTTATGGGTCATCGGATTATGGTATTGGTTTTGAATTTTGAGCACGCATCCCCGGGTTATCTTTTGTTGACCTTTTGGGAATTCTTCAAAGATCGAAGCTTTATGGATTGTGATCATTTTCTATAGCATTGTTTGACTTCCTTGAATGATATTTGGCTTGGATTTGCATGATTGGAGGGCTAGAACGAGGTTTTGATGCGATTCGAGATTGAAGCATTCTCGAGAAGAGGTAAGTCTCTTGACTAACCTTGTTAAGAGGAAAACCCTAGGATTTGACTTGATTGCTATGTGTTAAGTTATTGGGGGTGGTGTATATGCAAGGTGGCAAGCATATATACATGGACAAAATTTATATCATATCTGAGGAAGAATTGAGATATATTATGCATTGTTTTGATTATATGTTCATCTTGATTCATGACTTATTTGGCTTATATGACTACATTTGATCTCTTATTCATGCTTGAGATCATGCCTAGGTTTTTGATTATTTATGAAGGCATTGGATCTTATTCTTGATATGTTGAATCACTTGAATCATCCGTAGTCATATAGAAATTCCATGAGCACATATCCGCATGATTATTATTAAGTCCTTGTGCATATTTTATCTATTAATTCTTGGGCATATGTATAAATTTTATATTTGGATATTTTCTTGGACTATGATTATGGAACGAAAGGCAAGGTCGTGCTATTGAAATACAATTATGGCACACAGGACATGATAAGCGGATATTATTTTTTGAGTAAGATATCAAGCTCTTTTTCCGCTTGGATAAGGATATGTCCCTTCGGAGTCTGGTGATTACCCATGTTACTTTGGGCTTTGTGAGCGTGGTCAATACATGGATTGTGTATTGAGTCAATACATGGATTCTGTATCGGGGTACATGAATCTTGTGTTGGTCATGGTAAGAGATAGAATTTTGAGCATGCATAGACATCCTTGAGTCATTTAGAAGCCTTATTTTAAATGCTAATTGTCACATGTCATCTGTATATGTTAGTTGGGAGCCTCGGCTCCTTTGAATGCAGCATGCCATCTTTAAATATCATATCTGAGCATTATTATGATTCTCTTATGAATTGGAAAATCATGATTTATATCTTTCGACTGTTTTATATCTTTAATACATGTTGTTGATGAGGATATT